GTGAAGAGCTCAGACCTCCTCAAGCACCTGCGCACCCACACCGGGGAGCGGCCCTACGAGTGCGCCCAGTGCGGCAAGGCCTTCAGCCAGACGTCGCACCTGACGCAGCACCAGCGCATCCACAGTGGCGAGACGCCCTACGCGTGCACGGCGTGTGGCAAGGCCTTCCGGCACAGCTCCTCGCTGGTGCGGCACCAGCGCATCCACACGGCTGAGAAGTCCTTCCGCTGCGGCGAGTGCGGCAAGGCTTTCAGCCACGGCTCCAACCTCAGCCAGCACCGCAAGATCCACGCGGGCGGGCGGCCCTACGCCTGTGGGCAGTGCGGCCGCCGCTTCTGCCGCAACTCGCACCTGATCCAGCACGAGCGCACGCACACGGGGGAGAAGCCCTACGCCTGCGCGCTGTGCGGTGCTGCCTTCAGCCAGGGCTCCTCGCTGTTTTTGCACCAGCGTGTGCACACCGGAGAGAAGCCCTTCTCCTGCCCGCAGTGCGGCCGGGCCTTCAGCCGCAGCTCCAACCTCACCCAGCACCAGCTGCTGCACACCGGCGAGAGGCCCTTCCGCTGCGCAGACTGCGGCAAGGCCTTCGCTAAGGGCGCTGTGCTGCTGAGCCACCGGCGCATCCACACTGGCGAGAAGCCTTTTGTGTGCGCACAGTGCGGCCGCGCCTTCCGGGAGCGCCCAGCCCTCTTCCACCACCAGAGGATCCACACCGGGGAGAAATCTGGCAGGCCATCGCCAGCCAGCGCCCCCAGACCAGGCGTCCATCGTGGGCATCATCGAAAGGTGCGCCGAGGAGGGAAGCAGAGCTCACTCCCGACTAGGGCCCAGCAGCAATCCCGAAGCCAGCCGAGGCTTCAGGCCACAGCCCCGCCCTTCCCTGGCCTTCTGTGAATCTCTACCTCAGCTGCAGAGCCCATGTCGTCTGCAAATCCACAGTCGGGGGAAGCTCTGTGCATTTGAGTCAGGGAGGAGGGAGATCCTTTGGTTGTGGTTCCACTTGCACGTGGTGACAGGATTTGCCACCTCAGCCCCAGCTCACACCTCCATCCCCAAAGAGGTCACACGGCAGAAAGATCAGGGGTAGGACACAGCGGCTGGGACTCTGGTGGGCCAAGACTATAGTCAGAGTCAGTGGGAGGCCGACAGTAGCGGCCCTGCACAGTGGTGACACTTCACGTGTGTTATGACTGGCTGCTAAGGTGAGAAGGGGAAATGCAGGCATGCAGGGCAGGGAGGGCCAGGGAAACTTGTGATGTCTGCACACAGACTGGCCACAGGACAGATGCTTGGGCTATTCCCCCCAGGCCTCTGTTCAATCAAGGCTTCCCGCGTCCCAGCCTAGGAGACAATAGGTCATAGGCCAGTGGGGTGAGGTTGGTGGCCTTGGACAAGTGGCTGGGCTCTCAGTTTCAGCTTCCTCCTCTGGGAGACAGAAAAAAGATCTGGGGCCACTGAGCATCATGTTGGCAGACACTCTCAAATTCCTAATAAGGCCAGGATGTGTTTGCTGCAAGCTCCTGCTCTGAGTGCTGGGAAGTTTCTCCTACACCCCTGTGAGGTGGCTTCTGTGGCTGGCATCCCTACTTGGAAGATGAGAAAACTGAGGCACACAGAGGGGAGGAGAATTGTCCATGGCAGGCAGCAGAGCCAGGACTCAAAGTCAGGTGGACTGGCCAAGCATCATGTCCTGGGCTGTGCTCTAGGCTGCCAGGTGTCAGGACCTGGCCTGGCTCCCCACACAGAACCAAATTGGGCTGCAGAAGTCTTCAGAGGAAGATGTGACTCTCAGCTTTGGAGACACATATCCAGGGTGATGGTTCTCCAGTGGTGCTTGTGCCCCTTGTTCTGCAAGCCTCAGCAGGGGCCACGTCCTGCCACTGACCCTTGTTACCAATTTTGACATTGTAAGGACCTTTTACATCTGACAACAGTAATAACGTCAGAGGAGAAAACGGGGCTGCTTATTTTGCTAAGCTTCGTGGCCATGTGCCCTCCTGGTCTCCCTCCTCAATTGCGGGGTGGACAGGGAGCTGAATAGGAAGGACTTGCCGTTACCTAAAGTTGGGTTCCTCAGCCCCGGGCTGTGGACCAGTGCCACCCTGTGGCCTGTTGGGAGCCGGGCTGTGTGGTGGGAGGTGGGTGGTGGGCGAGCGAGGCTTCGTCTGTGTTTGCAGCTGCTCCCCAGGGCTGACATCACCGCATGTACTCTGCCTCCCGTCACATCACTAGCAGCAGCACTGGATTGTCATAGGAGCGCAAACCCTACTGTGGGCTACATACATGTGAGCGATCTAGTTTGCGAGCTCCTTGTGAGAGTCTGGTGCCTCCTGAGCTGGGGTGGAGCTGGGGTGGTGGTGCCGGCACTGGGGAGCGGCTGCAAGTGCAGATTGTCTTTGGCAGAGAGGTTTGACTGCAGAATGTGGTGTGCTTGGGTCATCTTGGGACTCCCCTATCCTGTCTGTGGAAGGCTTGTCTTCTGTGAAACGTGTCCCTGATGCCAAACAGGTTGGGGACCACTGACCTAAGGCCTTGTGTGATGTCTTCCTGAGATCCAACCACTATCTATGTAATGCCCCCAGATGGTATGGACAGAAAGGTGGAATGGGGGGTGAGTCTTATCCCAGTTTGCTTCCTGTGGGCTTCAGTAGACCAGGCCTCCTCCCTACTTGGGGAGCCTTACCTCCTAGGAAATTCATGGTCTTTTTACTATTAAAAAAATAAGCATTTACAACTTGGAATAGTCGTGTAGTTACCTGCACACAGCAGTGTGGACCTCCACCGTCTCATCCTCCTCTCCTGACTCCAGGGCACGTTTTGGGTTTTAATAAGAGTTGAAAGAGGCTCACTAATTATTAAAAGTTTCTTTTCTTTTTTAGATAGGGTCTTGCTCTGTTGCCAGGGCTATAGTGCGCTGGTGTCATCCTAGTTCACAGCAACCTCAAACTCCTGGACTCAAGTGATCCTCCTGCCTCAGCCTCCTGAGTAGGTGGGACTACAGGCATGTGCCACCACACCCAGCTAATTTTTTTATTTTCTTGGAAAGGTGAGGTCTTACTATGTTGCTCAGGCTGGTCTTAAACTCCTGGCCAAAGTAATCCTGCTGCCTTGGCCTCCCAAAGTGTCAGGATTGAAGGAGTAAGCTACCATTCTCAGCCTCTTTTTAAACATTGTGTGGACAGTAACAACTTGACACCATTTCACCCTAATATAATGCAGATGATATTGAACGTATGTAGACATGCCATAGGTATCATTGTCACAGAATTTCAGGGACTTGGCCTCAACCTGGGTCCCCTCAAGAAGCCACAGGGTAGAGATGGAGCCTGTCTGGGGCCCAGTGAAGGACTGGGATACCTATACCTTCCTTGTGGCTAGAGGTGGGGGGGCGGCCAGAGACCTGGGTGAAGTGGGCATGGTGGGGCTGTCACCCAGCAGCAATTCTGCTGGGATATGAGCATTAGTAGATACCATGGCAGCGTAGCTGGTGAATGGTGAAAGCACTCACCAGCAGTGGCATTCTGAAGCTAGAAGTGAATGGGGAGCTGTCACTAATTATGGAATGCCAAATACTAAGTTGGCACTGATGGAAGTGGAGAGAGGTCCTACCAGACCTACTGGCAGAACTCCAGAAGGCAGGGAACCAGCAGCCCAGGGAGAGATCTGTATCAAAGCTGCCTGGGGGTGACACCTAGTTGAGAAGCCCTTACAGTCCCAGTGCTTTCCCCACCTGGTGGAGGGTGAAAGAGTTGTCTCTGGAAAATCTGCACAGTTCCAGAGAAAAGACCTAATTGCTCCCCAAACAGCACAACTTGATGAAGCCACTGGGAAGCTCGGAGTTGACAAGCCCCACCCACGCACATGCTCAGAGCTTCCAATGCTTGTTTAAGATCACTGCTGTTCATCCGGAGCAGACAGCCCGGGATTCCCGGGTAGCAGAAGAAACCAAACCAGACAGGCAGATGCAATTCAGGATTAAACAAACAAGTCGTGGTTCGGCCACTTGATGTGTGGAAGCTCACTGACCTCACCCCACAGTCAGATTTGAAAGCAATAATATCGCCTACTGAGAGAAACTAAATAAGGTCGCCCTGTCTAGTTCTGCTCCCCAAAACAAATAAAAGGTAAACAAATGGTTGAGCACGTCCATAGCCTGGACATAACCCTCCACCGCTCACATCGCAGGATTGGTGTGTGAAGACATGTCAGAGACCGGGGGTATAACCATGAGACAGTTAACCTCATCAATGAATGGGTCCCACCAGAGTCCCTGTTGTCCTGCATGTCTGCAGGGCGCCTAACGGAGGTCGAATGAAGAACCCCAGCATCCTCCTCGCGGGAGAAGTCCCCAGAGGTGGCCGAGAAAGCCCAGGTTCATGCTGCCCTTCCGCACCGCACCGCGCCTCCTCCCTAGACCACCTGGAAGCGAGTGCCGGCGGAACTACATGACACAAGGGGACAGGGCGCTGCCACTTCCCGCCCCTCGGGAGCGCAGGGTGACGCTCCTGCAGACGCCACGGCAACGGCCGGGGCGGGCGGATGCGTTCTAGCTGTTACCCAGGGGAGGGCTGGGCGGCGGTAAAGATCTCGCTGGGGGAGGGGCCGGGGCGGGGCGCCGGCTCTGATTGGCCAAACGATCATGCTCCTCCCCGCCCCTCACCTCTCTTGCCAATAGCAACCGGGCCCGCTGTGCACATGCGCAGGAGTTTAACGCGGAGTCCCGCTCGGCCGTGAGTGAATCCTGGGGCTCGGACGCAAAGGAAGAGCAGCTGCCAGAGAAGGGAGGGAGCCCCCAAGACTGTGCGACACTGCGGATCCCTCTGAGGGGGACGTAGCACCTCCCAGGCGTGAGAGGCCTGTGAAAATGCGCGTCCGCTTGCCGAGGCTGCGCCTTTCCTTGCTTGCTGAGGATCAAGGGAAACGTCCCCGCAGGGAGGAGGCGGAGCCTCGGAGCCGACAGGAGATGACGTCACCCACGGGAGGACACGCCCCCTGCCGGCAATGCCATTGTCAGCAACAACACAGTAGGCCCAGGTGACACCTCCCAGGTAATCCCAGAAGTTCTCTGGGCCACTCATTTAAGCCCTACCTCTCTAGAACAAGAACTGACATTCACCCCCAAAAACATGCTTCCTCTGAAAAAAGTATGTACCTTCTGAAATTTCTTTTAATACTCCTGGAGACGGAGCTGACTAGAGCCAGAATCAATGTCCTGCTGTGCTGGGTGAGTGGGCGGAATGGTCCATTAGAGGTTAATTGGACGTAGTTCAGTTGGCCATGGATAAACCTCGAACATCTTACCCCCATCCTGTGCTCTGGTCTCTCCACTGGGCTCATTCGATAGCATCCATGCTGGAGGGTGTTGCCATGGTGATGCCAGAACAGCCCATGCCACGGCCTACTGACCAAATCACTTGACCTGCCCAGAAGACCGCAGCGGGTGCTGTGACTGCCGATGCAGCCTCCACGCTGGCCTTGGGGGTTAGTAAGATTCCTGGGTGTGGAATCCACTCAGCCCCTTTGCCTGCACTCTTCGCTGCCAGGGGCCACCTCGACAATCCCTGCTGCTCCCTATACTGTTCCTCCCCTAGGAAGCCTCTGACACCCCACCCAGGAGATACCACTTTCACCACTTGACCTCTTACCTGACCCCAGCCATCTGCCATGTCTCTGGAAAACTTCTGTCACTGGCATTCTGAGCACCCCATTCCCTGTCTCTGTCCCCATAGCCCCTAACCCAGGTGGCTCGCAGACCAATGACTGCTCCCTACTTCTAGAACCTGGTACTTCATGACCTCCCAGGCTTTCTCTCCATCCAAGGCCGCCCAGGAAATCCAATGACAAGGTCATAGTTACTTTAGAGACTCTCCACAGGGCTTGTGAAATGCTTAGGGTGTTAAGACGCCATCATCAAAGGTAAGGTGCTTTCACAGCAACATCTGAATTTGAGGCTTCTGTGAAGCATCTGAGTGGCTGGCACGTGTACTGCGGTGCCCCCCGGAGGTGGAACTAGGTCTGCAATGTGCCTTGGTCCCATCCCAGGACCTGGACCTGCATTTGCCACCCATCCTGCCCCTGACTTTCCACACCTCGTGACTTAGAAAAACCAGTGTACGTGAGTCCAATAAAAGGAACAGCCATGATGTTAATAAAATAACATCAGTACTATCTACTGACTGATTACTCTGGACCAGTTATGGTCATGTTCACTTATGTCATTTTATTTTATGCTCCCTACAACCTTAGGAGGTAAGGAGTAGAGAGTATGAGTTCTGGGCCCACACTGGAGGATGGAAGCCTGGCTCTAATGCTTCCTTTTCAGGCTAACTTGCTAGCTTGCTTTAGGGTAAAGTCTCAGACTCTTTTCAGTTCTTGACAGGAACCAAATGATTCATGCTGGAGAAAGGTTTTATCAACGTAGCAAATGTGGGAAAATGTTTAGCCTGTGCAATACACTTGTTTGACACCAGGGTTCATGTTAGGAAAAGGCCCGAGGCTGGGCACAGTGGTGCACATCTGTAATCCTAGCACTTTGACAGGCCAAGGTAGGAGGATCACTTGAGGCCAGGAGTTTGAGACCAGCCTGAGCACCGTAGCAGGATCCTGTTTTTACAAAAATAAAAAAATTATCCGGGCACGGTGGGACACACCAGTAGGCCCAGCTACTTGAAAGGCTGAGTCAGGAGAATCCCTTGGGCCCAGGAGTTTGAGAATACAATGAGCTATGATGATGCCACTGCACTTTAGCCTGAGGAAGAGAGTGAGATCCTGTCTTAAAAAAAACAAAAAAAAAAGAAGAAAGAAAAGAAAAGAAAAAGGCACAGGAGGGCAGTGAATCTAGAAACCTCTTCTACTTTTGTGACCTTTTCAGTATAAAAATGGACCAGGCACAGTGGTACATGCCTGTGGTCCCAGTTACTCAAGAGGCTGTGGCAGGAGGATCACTTGTTCCCCAGGACTTCCAGACCAGCCTGGGCAACATAGGGAGACCTTGTCTCTCCATACAAAACAAAAACAATAAGAACCTGAATCACACTTGAGAGCGCCTCCTCTTTTTTGTGAATAGCAAGTCAAAGAGAGCCCCTTTGAGTCCACTGTTACCTTGGCTGTGTAAAAACAAATCACACCTGACAGACACTGTGAGCACTTCTGAAACCTCCTCAGCCAGCTGTGGAATCTCATACACCAGAACACTCCAGTGGGGAAATATTCTGGGAGTGTGATATATGGGAAAGCTCACAGGAATTTTGTTATATTTTCTGACTGGCTGAGAGACAAGGGCAGAGTTAATTTTGGGAAAGGGTATAAAGTCTATATCTAGATTTCTTTTTTTGCATGTGGATGTCCAGTTGTTACAGCATGATTTGTTGAAAAAATTCTATTTGCTCCATGGTATTACCTCTGTTCCCTTCTCAAAGATCTATTGGCTGCATATACATAGGTCTGTTCCTGGGGTCTCTATACTAGTCCAGTGATCTGTTTGTTGTTTCTTTTGCCAGTACCACACTCTCTTGATTTCTATAGCTTTATATTAAGTGTTGAAGTCAGGTAGTGTCAGTCCTCCAACTGTGTTCTTAATATTGTGTTGGCTGTTTGGGTCTTTTGCCTTTCTATATAAACTGTAGGTCAGTTTGTTGATATCCACAAAATAACCTCCTGGAATTTTTATTGGGATTGCACTGAGTCTATAGATCAAGTTGTGAAAAGCTGACATCTTGACAGTATTGAGTCTTCCTGTCCATAAACGTGGCATATCT